CTGTATCTAGAAATGAATGGCAGGCAATAGTATTCAGACTGACCGTACCAGTACATACAACTGAACATACTGGAGTGGGTATATTTTAAAGTCTTCGTGGAAGTGTTTATGGATCCCAGTCTGTTCTGTGTGGCCTTGTGTTTCCCCAGGATCAGCAAGTTCAGAAAGAATGTACGAAATCCCTGACCATAACATACAAACTTTGTTCCATGCATTTTAATTTGATTTCTTCCTGAATTTATGTCAGCTTTGGCTTTCTTCTCCACCACGTTCTGTGCCAATTAGACTCTCGTGGACACTGCTGTACTGAGCTACTGAGGAGGGAAAGAGACATCGGCCCTGAGTAGATTTGCTCTTGGCAGTGTGGTCTGATGGGCACTCCAAGTCATCACGGCCACCAATGTTCTCTAACATTTGTTAACAAGGGAACAAATGACAACACTGGGAGTGTGATGGATCTAAACCACTTTATATTATCTCTTCTGGTCATGTTTGCAGACACGTTCAGATCAGTGGTTTCCAGAACCCACTGCTGGGTCAGGGACTTCTGTGGCAGTGGGGACATAGCCCCAAAGCTCCCTGCTCCCCATGTACAGGTCATACTCCAGAGGTGATGGGCTGGAACAAGGCTGTGTGTCCAATGGGAGAGGGAGATTAAGCAGAAGACACTAAGTAAGAGACAGACAGTCTTGTTTTTCTTTGTCCCCTGGGGCATAAGGAACAGTGGTCCAGAATCCCTCTTGTCAGTAACAAAATCTACAAAACAGAGCATGTGGACCGTACTTGATGTTCAAATTTTCAAGTAAAATTTGTACTGTGCAATCAAGATTTATAAGGTCTCTTATTTGTATTTGAACCATTTGCTTCTTTCTGATGCTGAAAAGAACTCTTTCTCTGTGAAGTTTCCTCATAGATTCCATTCCCATGACCAAGAGAGGTGTCAGAAATGAAATTCAATAACATTAAGATATCACTAAATGTTTCCAGAACAAGTTTGGAGAAGCCATCACATCTAATATTAAGCACGAAGAACAATTTATGGAAAAATATAATCAAAAAAAGGATAATATTTCTTAGGTACACAAAGCATAATTTCTGAATTTCAATTAATACTGGAAGTAATTAGTAGTAAATAAGGCAACTCAGAAAGCCGACTTGTGACCAGGGTACTAACTGAGGCAATGTACCAGAATTCCAAGGAAACAGAAAAGGACGTGAGAGGCAGGTGTCATCCCAGCAGCTGAGTTCATGGTGACCTCACACTGGAAAACACTCCAGTGCCCATCAACAATGCAGTAAATCACTATTGTCATATGTATGCAACAGGATACAAGAGAGAAAAAGTGTAAACATCACTTGCACAACCATGGGAGGGTGAATCTCATAAACATGCTGTTGAACTAGAGAAGCTGACACGCTGTAGGAGGTGAGACAAGTGTGAGCTGTCTCACAGGCAGGAGTGGGTTTAGAGCTGAGTGCAGGGCCCAGCCCCCAGTGACCAATGCTGTGGCTGCCCAGCCCTTTGGTTCTTGTTGTGACTCCTAGACTCCCTCAGGAACACCATCAGGACACTTTGAAAAGACACGAGCTCATTACACAGCACACCTGAGGTCACAGAGCAAGGCTGCAGGTGGAGAGAGCTGCAGGGCCTGGGGTTCTGCTTTTAGGGGGAGACAGTGAAGGTCTAGTGTTTCCTGGGCTCTCTTGTTGAATTTAAAACATAAAACCATGAATTTAAAGGCAGGAGAAGGAAAACTAAGGGACTCAAAGTGGTCAGTCACTGAAATGAACCCAAGGGCCCTAGAACCCAGGAGCCTGGGGCAGGGGGCCTGGAACAGAGAGCCTCCTACCTGGGTCTCTATCTGGTCCCTGTGCCTGGCCTGGCCCTGTTATCCCACACAGCCATATTTGAAGTGGATGCCTCAGCAGTCAAAGTATAACGTAGGTATTTCCACCACAAAAAAACAAAAACAAAAACTGTCCTAACAGGAGTTACTGTGAGGCTGTGGCACAGAAGATGTGACTGTGATCCATTTACTCACTACACAAGCATATAGTCCCCTCCTTATGTGAGTCTAAAAATGTAGTTTAAGTCCCTTCAGTGCTCTGGGTCTAGGTCTATCATCTATAAACAGGAATAGAATCAGGACCTTCCAAGGCCCCTTTAGCAGTGTGCATATCATTCTCTGGGAGGGAGGAAAAACAATGGGCCTGCCTTATTGGGACAGGTCACCACCAGGGGGCAGAAGAGAGCATCATCCTTGGGAATGAGTACCAGCTACCCTCCCCCCAGTCCCACCCTTTAATCTGTTCTGAGTGTGGAGAAAGGAAGAATGAAGAGCTGATCACAACTGTCTTGAGACCTTGGGTGTGAGGCCAACACCTGAAGATGCTGCTGCTCCTGCTGCTTCTGCTGCTTCTGGGGCCCAGTATGAACCTGATTATCTGAGTGGCTTGGGCGAGTGTGTGTGCCTGTTGGCCTGATGATGGGGTGGCCTGAGCTGGTGGGGTTTAGTGCTGATCCTAAGAAGAGAGGTCAAGTGAGAGGTCACCAGTCAGGGCAGATGAAGGGTTCTGATCGCAAGGCCTCTGACAGGAAGATTTCACCAACAAACAGGACTCTGAGGGCTGGAGGAAAAGGGGAGGGGGTAGGGGGTGAGGGCCTGAGTTTCCTGCCTGTGGTCAGCTGGGACTGGTCCTGCTGGCCTCCTTCATGGCTCTGACCTCTGTCCCTGCAGGCTCTGGGCTCAGTGCTCGCGTCTCTCAGAGTCCAAGCAGGGTCGTCTGTGCAAGTGGGATCCAGGTGACAATCGAGTGCCATGCAGTGGACATTCAGGCCTCAACTATGTTTTGGTATCAGCAGTTCCCGAATCAGGGCCTCGTACTGATGGTGACTTCCAACATGGGCTTGCCTGCCACACACGAACCAAGTTTCTCCAAGGACAGCTTTCCCGTCAGCCACCCAAACCAGACTTTCTCAGCTCTGACGGTGGCCAGTGCACGCCCTGAACACAGTGGCCTCTACTTCTGTGCTGCCAGTGACACAGCGCTGGGCAGAGATCAGAGGCCCAGGCAAGAACCTCTGCCCCTCTTCCCAGCACCCAGCCCTGGGAACCCTGGGGAAGGGGTGTTGGGGGAGGGGAACCACAGCTTTTCTGAGGAAGCCATCTGTGTGTGGAGAGAGGGGAGAGAGGGGAGAGAAAGAGAGGAGAGAGAGAGAGAGAATAGAAACATGCCAATCGAGGTCTGTGTTACTCAGAGGTATGCTTTGTATGTGAGGCTGTGCATTCTCTTATTGTTCTGGAACAATCCTGGTTTTGTGGCCTGGCGCCTGATTTGCTATAGGACACCCCAGAAACAGCAAAAATGGGGTTGGATCAACCTGTGTGAAGTAGAGGAGACATGTCTGGCCCCCAAACCTTGCCCATTAGAAACATTTCATCTCAACTTCTTCTGGGGGTTACAAATTTTATTTTATACGTTTTAAAGATTTTATATGTTCATTTTTAGAGAGAGGGGAAGAGAATGAGAATGAGAGAATTGTCAATGTGTGGTTGCCTTTTGCGTGCCCTGTACTAGGAATCTGGCCCACAATCCAGGCACATGCACTGACTGGGAATCGAACTGGCGACCCTTTAGTTCATGGCACACATTCGGTCCACTGACTACAGGAGCTAGGGCTTCATCTCAAATTGTTGTTACCTCTTTAAATAATTCCTTAAACCTCATCACTGAACAGATGCTGGGAACATAGAAAACAGTATTCCTTCTCCTTTGCTTTGATGAAACTATTTGGGAAAATTCAAAGGCAGATGCGTGCAAAAGCGTTTCAAGTACCTAGTGCCGAGGACGTCCACAAACTCCAGGATGGGTACAAACCATGCCACTCTGCCATAATTCCTGCCTCTTGATTTTCTGAAATATTTGCACACATTGGGGTCCTTCCTCTCTCTGACCTGCAGCAGGAGGTCAATGAAAAACAACTGCCTGCAAACAAAGAGGGCTGAGCAGGGTTGGAGAGACCTCAGGGAATGAGCCCTGCCCCTCAGTGTCCCCGCTGAGTCATCCCTAAGCAGGACTGGAGGGAGAGGGTCAAAGTGCACTCCATTTAAAGGGCCAGACATGAGATTTAAAGTGATGGTCCTCTGAATACTGAGCTTCTGAGGGAGAAAAGAAATGTCAAAAGGGAAGGAAGAAGGGTCCTCTGGACACTGGGTCATGAAGGAAAAACAGGAGAAATAGGGGAAATATTATTCCTAGAAAATAGATGAGAAGAATGAAATCACAGGACTCATATCACCCTCCACCCCATTACAAAAAAGTTATGGAAGGGTTTGGACTCTGCTAGAACTATGGAATTAAGCTGGGTATATTGTCACTATTACGAAAAAGAACAATAGGAGCATAATACCCATAGCATAGACAACACACAAGAAACCTTCCATTGTCTCCCCTCAAAAAACAGTCATGCGTCAAAAGTAAAACTTAAGTCTACACTTCAAACAAATATATTCAAGTAAGCAGTTGAAGATAACCACCCTAAACCAGAGTTCAAACATTATTAATAGAAATGACAAAAAGGGAGAGGAACAAAAAAATTTTTGGTAACATTCAGGAAAGAAATGAAATCAAAAGTGAAACATACCTAAGAAACAAAGACAATATAAAAGATACACATGGAACAGTCAGATGGGAGTTTAGTGCAGGCACTGAAGAAAAGGAGGAAAACATCTCAGGAACTAAAAATGGCAACAGGAACACCAGCCAGGGAGAAGGTTCTGGAATAAAACAGGGTCCTGGGGTGAATTCAGGATGGATTTCAGCAGAGTGGTATCCATGCAGTGATGGGGCTAATGATGAATTCTACGTTCTTGTGTGACCCACATGTCTACAGGCTGCTGTCATGAGCAGACCTCACCTTGACTAGGAAGGGCACAGCCAACAGGCCAATCACAGTGAGACTCTGCTGGGTGCCAGCCACTCAGGTCACAGGGAGGCACAAGGGGATGGGGTGCAAGTAATCCAGGTCTCCTCTGCTCTGTCTCCTCATCTGCAAAATTAGGGATCCTGAACTGATTACCTCCAGGGCCTCTTCCCACTGTCTTTCTAGCCTTCTGGCACATTCTGCACACACACAGAGGGGATCCCCAGAGCTAAGTCTCTTGCCTCATTTGTCTTCCTGCAAGTGCCTATAGCTACAAGGGGACCCCCTTTCCCACTATGGGCAGCCAGGTACTCTGCTGCATGGCCCTTTGTGTTCTGGGAGCAGGTGAGTTCTGGGTTCAGGGAGCAAATTCCTGTCCTGAGGGTGACAAGCCCCATGTCTAACTAAGCTTTTTACCGTAACAGCAGTAGGGCCACCATCTTGGGCTGTGTTTCCAGAACCTTCTTTCTTCCATAGGCACAGTGGGTGGTGGAATCACTCAGACCCCAAAATACCTGTCCAGAAAGGAAGGTCAAGCTGTGACCCTGCAGTGTGAACAGGACTTAGGCCATGACAGCATGTACTGGTACCGACAGGACCCAGGACAGGGGCTGAGGCTGATCTACTTCTCCAGAATAGAAAAGAATGTTGAGAAGGGAGACCTGGCTGAAGGCTACCAGGCCTCTCGGGAGGAGAAGGCAACCTTTCCTCTCACCATGCCATCGACCCGGAAGGACCAGACAGCTCTGTACCTCTGTGCTAGCAGCTTAGACACAGTGGAGCACAGCTACCTCCTGTCTGCACATAAACAGGTCCCCAGTCTTGTGTGCCCACCAGGTGGCAGGGCTTTTTGGTGGATTTTGCCCACTTTCTTTCACCTCAGCCAACCCCCCAAAGCAGCTGCTGCTGTAACTATGTCATGTAGAATGGTACAGAGCTTCAGCCATCCACTCCCTATCTCTCTATTTATCTATCTATCTCTATGAGAGAGACAGAGAAGTTGACTTTACAAATCAACTCTTTTTTCCACTTTACCAAACAATGGGAAGCAGAAGGGAACTGAAAATTATTCCTTCTTTCAGAAAAATAACAAAGCCCAGTGGGGAGAAAAACACAGAGAAGACAAATACTAGAACCACATGTTATGCAATGCCCCCTTCAATCAGAAGTGTCAACAAGGACAGGAAGTAGCATGTCAATTCTGTCTGATGACACCAGGAAGGGCTTCAAAGACAAGGCAACCTGTGGAATGAGGAGTAGGTTTCACCAGATGGACAAGCCTGGGCAGAGTGATACAGGCCTTGGGAGCTATGGAAGGACAGAATGATGGTATCACATTGGGATAAATGAGATAACCACCATTCCCAGAACATGGTGATAGGGGAAACTAGAAGAATGAGCAAAGGGAAGTTATTGATCACAATTGAGTTTTGGGTTCTAGTGGCTCCTCCTTGGGTATCTGCATAGATACCTACTAGAATCCTGTAAATGTACAGTTGGCACTTAGAGGACAGACTCAGACCCCAGGGAAATATTTGCCAGACTAATCAGCAGAGAAGTAGGCAGGATTACTTTGCAAATAGTCTTCATGTTCTCAGTGTATTTTCTCCTTTTCTCTTCTGCCACAAGTATGTTGAATTAAAAGGCAGGCAGTGTTAATTCTATTTGTTTATGTATTTTTGTTTGATCACATAATTCTGTGTCTAGAAATGAATGGCAGGCAATAGTATTCAGACTGACCATACCAGTACATACAACTGAACATACTGGAGTGGGTATATTTTAAAGTCTTCGTGGAAGTGTTTATGGATCCCAGTCTGCTCTGTGTGGCCTTGTGTTTCCCCAGGATCAGCAAGTTCAGAAAGAATGTACAAAATCCCTGACCATAACATACAAACTTTGTTCCATGCATTTTAATTTGATTTCTTCCTGAATTTATGTCAGCTTTGGCTTTCTTCTCCACCACGTTCTGGGCCAATTAGACTCTCGTGGACACTGCTGTACTGAGCTACTGAGGTGGGAAAGAGTCAGTGGTCTTGAGTAGGATTTGCACTTGGCAGTGTGGTCTGATGGGCACTCCAAGTCATCACGGCCACCAATGCTCTCTAACATTTGTTAACAAGGGAACAAATGACAACACTGGGAGTGTGATGGATCTAAACCACTTTATATTATCTCTTCTGGTCATGTTTGCAGACACGTTCAGATCAGTGGTTTCCAGAACCCACTGCTGGGTCAGGGACTTCTGTGGCAGTGGGGACACAGCCCCAAAGCTCCCTGCTCCCCATGTACAGGTCATACTCCAGAGGTGATGGGCTGGAGCAAGGCTGTGTGTCCAATGGGAGAGGGAGATTAAGCAGAAGACACTAAGTAAGAGACAGACAGTCTTGTTTTTCTTTGTCCCCTGGGGCATAAGGAGCAGGGGCCCAGAATCCCTCTCGTCAGTAACGAAATCTACAAAACAGAGCATGTGGACCATACTTGATGTTAAAATTTTCACTGTAAAACTTGTAACATGCACTCAAGATTTGCACAGTCTTGCCCTGGCTGGTGTGGCTCAGTGAGATGAACACTGACTGGCCTGAGATCCAAACAGTCATGGGTTCGATTCATACTCAGAGCACATGCCTGGGTTGTGGGTCAGGTCCCTAGTTGGGAGCAGGCATGCAAAAGTTCACCACACAGTGATGTTTCTCTCTCTCTCTTTCTCCCTCCCTTACTCATTCTCTAAAAATAAATAAGTAAAACATTTTAAAAATGGTTTGTGCAGTATCTTGTATACGCTTTAACCATTTGCTTATATGGTTTCACCTGATACTGAAAAGAACTCTTCAGCTTTGAAGTTTTATAATAGTCCCCATTCCTACGGCCAACCTTAAGAGTTGTAGGAAATGAAAGTCAGAACATTAAAATATCAGTAGATGTTCCCATAACATTTTTGAGAAGTAGTCACATCTATTATTAACTAGGAAGAACATTTTATAGAAAATTATAATCAAAGAAGGATAATATTTTTAGGTTCAAGAAACATAATTTCTAAATTTAAACTAATACTCAAAGTAATTAGTAGTAAATAAGGCAACTCAGAAAGCCGACTTGTGACCTGGGTACTAACTGAGGCAATGTCCCAGAATTCCAAGGAAACAGAAAAGGACGTGAGAGGCAGATGTCATCCCAGCAGCTGAGTTCACGGTGACCTCACAATGGAAAACACTCCAATGCCCATCAACAATGCAGTAAATCACTAGTGTCATATGTATGCAACAGGATACAAGAGAGCAAAAGTGTAAACATCATTTTCACAACCATGGGAGGGTGAATCTCATAAACATGCTGTTGAACGAGAGAAGCCAACATGCTGTAGGAGGTGAGACAAGTGTGAGCTGTCTCACAGGCGGGAGTGGGTTTAGAGCTGAGTGCAGGGCCCAGCCCCCAATGACCAATGCTGTGGCTGCCCAGCCCTTTGGTTCTTCTTGTGACTCCTAGACTCCCTCAGGAACACCATCAAGACACTTTGAAAAGACATGAGCTCATTACACAGCACACCTGAGGTCACAGAGCAAGGCTGCAGGTGAAGAGAGCTGCAGGGCCTGGGGTTCTGCTTTTAGGGGGAGACAGTGAGGGCCTAGTGTTTCCTAGGCTCACTCTTTAGTGTTGGGTTTAAAACATCAAAGCAGGAATTTAAAGGCAGGAGGAGAAAAACCAGTGGCTCAAAGTAGTCAGTTACTGAAATCAACCCAAGAGCCCTAGAACCCAGAAGCCTGGGGCAGAGGGCCCGAAACAGAGAGCCTGATGCCTGGGTCTCTATCTGGTCCCTGTGCCTGGCCTGGCCCTGTTCAATCCCACACAGCCGTCTTTGAAATGGACACCTCAGCAGTCAAAGTATAAGCCAACCATTTTCCATTGGGGAAAAAAAAGCTCTCCAGACTTAACACTACTTACTTCGAGATTATGACACAGAAGAAGTGGCCATAATGCCACTTAGTACAAAAACATGTCCTCCTTTCCTTAAGTGAGTCTAAAAAATTTGTGTAATTTGTTTCAGTGTTCTAGGTCTCAGTGCATCATCTATAAATTAGGAGTTGAATCAGAACAGTTCCAAGGCCCCTTCTTGCCGTGTGTTTGGTTCTCCAAGAGAGAGAGCAATGAGTCCTCCCTCACTGGCACAGATCCCCACCAGGGGGCAGTGGAGAGCACCCAGAGGATTCTGGAAACACCCTCCCCTCTTAATCTGTCCTGGGGGTGGAGAGAGGAAGAATGAAGAGCTGGTCACATCTCCCTGGGGACCTGTGTGGTGTGAGGCCATCACCAGAACATGCTGCTGCTTCTGCTGCTTCTGGGGCCCAGTACGAACCTGATTATCTGAGTGGCTTGGGCAAGTGTGTGTGCCTGTTGGCATTTCGATGGGGTGGCCTGAGCTGGTGGGTTTTCTGTGCTGATGGCAAAGAAAGGGGTCAAGTGAGAGGTCACCAGTCAGGGCAGATGGGGGCTTCTGATCCCAGGGCCTCTGACAGGAAGATTCCACCAACAAACAGGACTCTGGGGGCTGGAGGAAAAGGGGAGGGGGTAGGGGGTGAGGGCCTGAGTTTCCTGCCTGTGGTCAGCTGGGACTGGTCCCGCTGGCCTCCTTCATGGCTCTGACCTCTGTCCCTGCAGGCTCTGGGCTCAGTGCTCGCGTCTCTCAGAGTCCAAGCAGGGTCGTCTGTGCAAGTGGAACCCAGGTGACAATCGAGTGCCATGCAGTGGACATTCAGGCAACAACTATGTTGTGGTATCAGCAGTTCCCGAATCAGGGCCTTGTACTGATGGTGACTTCCAACATGGGCTCACCTGCCACACACGAACAAGGTTTCTCCAAGGACAGCTTTCCCATCAGCCACCCAAACCAGACTTTCTCAGCTCTGACAGTGGCCAGTGCACGCCCTGAACACAGCGGCCTCTACTTCTGTGCTGCCAGTGACACAGCGCTGGGCAGAGATCAGAGGCCCAGGCAAGAACCTCTGCCCCTCTTCCCAGCACCCAGCCTGGGGAGCCCTGGGGAAGGGGTGTGGGGGGAGGGGAACCACAGCTGCTCTGAGGGAGCCATCTGTGTGTGGAGAGAGGGGAAAGAGGGGAGAGGTCAGAAAGAGAAAAAGAAAAAAGAGAGGAGAGCATCCGAACAGGATCTTGAGCTAGGCCTATAAAGTGGCCAACAGACATAAACAGATTCTTGGGCTGAAATTTATTCACCTTGGATTTCTTTTTCTGACTCTGCCCTATATTAATTATATGTCCTTGGTTAGATTTGTACATAATTCCTTATGTAGATTTTGAAATACTTCTACAAAACACTGTATTTTCTATAGCATTGGCATTTGGCTCTCCAAGACATTCAGCACCATCCTGTACCACCCAAGGCTCTGGAGGCACAGTTGTGAGACAGCCAAACAGAAACAGTCCTGGTGAACAAATCTGATGGTGTGTCAAATATAGTATTTGTACTGAATGTGTTGGTTGAGCCGGCTCTTGAGAAAGTTGTAGAAAGCAATAGAAGGCAGAGCATATAAGAAAGACTTCAGACAGCATGGCTTGTCTACAGAACTAGAAAGTTCTCTCAGCAACCAGAAGACAGTAAGTGGAGCAGTGAGTGTGAGCCCCTCTGAAAAATTCTTTCCTAGGGAAAATTGAAAAATTACATTGACCACACATCTTGTATGATCCAATAAAAAAATAAGTGAAAAAAGTGACATACATTTAATAGAAGAAACATCCATCACCAGTAAACAGTTGAGGAGATCATTAACCTCACAGGGGAGGTCAGCAAAATGTGGGCTAAGATACAATGATATGTCGTCCATTTATAATCATTTGGGTAACAAAATAGAAAGTGCTTGGAATTGCAAACTGTTCAGGTGCAGACCCACAGGATTACT